ACAATGCAACCATCAATAAAATCCCAGCGGCTCCAGGAATCTTAACGTTCCGAAAGGACAATCAAAAACTTTATCTACGATCAAGGAAAAGCTGGAATGTCATTGCGGAAGAGAAAAAGGTGCAATTATAACTCGTAGGATCAATTTTTATATTTTTAATTCCGATAATTTTAATACTTGATCAATATAATTTATACTCCGAAATTACGGCCTAGTCGTTAAGACCTTATCTGAAACAGCAATCCTATCCATTATAAAGTTTTAGTTCGTATTTTTCGTTATTTCACAATTGAGTTATCAGGGTTTCATTCTTAGCTTAACCAACTTAACGCCGCCGTTGCGAATCTTACGGATCATTTGGTCGCATTGAATCAGATTCTTGGAATTAAAGGTTCGACTTATACTAAATTTTATATGTTCCTTTCCGTCGTTCCCATAGATAAATAATATATTATATTGGCATACTGTTAATTAATTCTCTAGAAGCTTGTATTCAAACTCACGCAGCCAGTTGCGCCCATTATTATAAATGTGGCATGAGACAGGATGGTGTTTATACAATAAATCCTGATGGTCTGGGATCGTTCCGAGTCTATTGTGATATGAACACAGACAGAGGAGGCTGGACCGTGTTTCAAAGAAGACAAGATGGAAGTAAAGATTTCTACCTTAAATGGTCAGACTATAAAGCAGGCTTTGGTGATCATTACGGCGAGTTCTGGTTGGGCCTTGATAAAATACGTCGTTTATCCAAATCTGGCCAAAATGTTCTAAGAGTTGATTTGATGGATTTCAATGGCGCTGAACGTCACGCTAAATATGGAACGTTTAGTGTTGCTGATGAATCAGACAAATACAGATTGAATATTGGCAGTTACTCAGGTAAATTAAACCCTGTGTTAGATTGTAACTTTTCGAAACTTGCGGTATTCGTATATACCAAAAGGTACGCAGCGACAATTTAATTTCAACAAAAATATTTGTTTATGTCAAGTTGGGTAAAAAATATAAACCACGCAGTTTATATAACGCATGTAAGAAGATTTTAAACATATTTCATAGTTGTACTCTGGTTTTCACAGCTAATATAACACCACCACTAGTTTTTGCATTGAGCATATTAATTTTTATGCATTTTAATTTTTTTTAATAATTCATTTTAATTATTTTCGTGCAGGTAATCAAGCGATTCATAAAAATCAATTATCTTGCATTCTATACCATAAGATCGATAAGTCTCTGTGCTACTTTTGGGGCACAATGCAAGATTATTACCCATTTTGTAATTACGATTTGAAAAAGTTGAACTTTATAATTATTTGTTAATGAAACGAAGGATAACTAAGAATGGCTTAAAAAATTCTCTATTTCATATAAATATGTCTAGCAATTTGACAAAACGCTTTAACCACCAAAAAAAACATGGCCAGAAAATTTACCGAGCGGTTGATAAAATTACAGACCTTCAAGATGATTTAGAGCTCCCCCCATTGACAAATGAAGCAGGTTTTCATACGCGGTAATGAACGCACTCCAGTCAATAGAATCGATACCATGCAGATTAGCCGTTTAGAGATGGAGTAAACCAAACTGGTAAAATTGCAGGAAATGCAGGCAATTTTGGTTTGCCTCGTCGAATTCAACCTACGTCGATGAGATTTAACGGCAATGACTCAACCGCTACTGCCTACTTTGCATTTCATCATGCAAAATTTAAAAAAGTAATATTACCTTTTGATTCTTTTTTCTATTGAGGAGTTTTATTGTATTTCTTAAAAGGTGACGCAGGTGATTCCCTTGCTTATCACAATCAAATGCAGTTCACTACCAAGGATAGCGACAATGATGCTTGAAGTTATGAGAATTGTGCTACGAGGTGGAAAGGAGCTTGGTGGCACCACAGCTGTTATTATTCTAACCTCAATGGCTTGTACCTGGGTGCAGGTCAGACCAGTAACAGCGGAATAAGATGGAAGAGTTGGCACTCTTATCCCAGGAAAAAGACAGAGATGAAAATTCGTCCAAACCAGTTCTAAGAAAAGGACGAGCTTTAGCAGGGACATCATAAACATATTTACTGCCAAGAACATAAAGTGTGTTGATTTTTCTATAATTGTGAAGAGAAAAATGCATGCAAATAAATTTGTGATCGTTTACTATCATTCTAGTCGCAAAAAATACTCAATTGGTATAATAACAGTATAATAACAGAACTAAGCCAGTGATAGTTACTAAGGAATAAGGATGCAAAAATTCAGACCTGTTTACTTGTGCTAACTTTGAGTAAGTAGTGCTTATAAAAGCAGTAACATTCTAATTTCGGGAAGTTTAAGTGACTGCCAGAGATCATGTTATTTACTTATTTCAATACCTCAAAGTCATTTCACGCCTGCTTTTAACTCGTATATCCGGGATCATAAAACCTTAACCAAATGAATACGTTTGAAACTTTTGACTAAAATAAAGTTTTGTAGTAGCTGAACCTTCAAAAGATGTGCTTGAAAAACAAGTCGGAGGTCTTTCTTCTCACAGTCAAAAATATTACCATGCAGGCATCTACGAAATCTAAGGGGCTGCTTACATAAGCCCGTTTAACCGAGATTCAAAAAAGCTTGTTTGATTTAATATAGACTTATTTCAATACCTTAAAATCATCTTACGCTTCGCTAACCGGACACATATAAACAGGCCCTCAGCAACGTATTTCAAAACATCAATTGATGAATATTATGATCATAGACCATAGCGAGACGATTCACTCCCGCGAGGAATCTTTGTAAAACAATAAATATTATAGATAGTTTTTAAGCTTTTCATTATGCTAATATTATAGCTGTGGTAATAACATTTCTTACTAGTGACATTAAGTTCACGTATAAACGGGAGTTTCTATCGTATTTAGAATAATAAGCAATATTTATAGTGACCTCATCATTAACCAGGAGGGTTAAGCCGAGTACAAATAATCCTGGACACCGTTAACAGCTAGGGTACCGGGATACTATCGAAACCATCCTCGTCCCCAGGGCAGGGACGAGGATGTATCAAAACAGGTAAAATTTTGCAGTTGTGACGGTAGAGATTTTTAATGTCTGAGCCCTCAATAAATAAATTTGATATTCATTTTTTGTAAACTGACGTTTTGATTGATCATTTTGTATACCACGTGAGGGTATAGAATCGCCTCAATCTTTTTGTACAAACTACGCCCTTCGAGCTTGGTCTGTTCAAAAAGACTTCGAACCGATATTTCTAGGTAAAGACCTCGCGCTCGATCAATAAGGAGTTATTTATAAATCACACGATCTTATTCAGCGTTATCGACGTTAGGCTCATTGGCATTGCTTGTTAGACAAAAGGAAAATGCAGTTTACTTGCTCTTAGCAACAACTGCATTTTGTTGAACAATTCAATGTTTTCACTATGCAGAATTTTCGTATTGACGCATTTGATATTATCATGCACTGAGTGATTTCATATTTAGCCCACTCCTTAAATGGCAGCCATTTTTGATACGAGCCTGTGATTCCACATAGGAATTAGGAAAGCGGTATACTCCATGAATGTAGCCCGTTTTTGTGACATCGCTGGGTATTTTAAAACACTGGTCCTGACGTTTCTCGAGCTTGCGTGAAGTTTTAGACAACACGAACGGCATGAGCAATATCAAAAGACTGGGTCAAGGATTGTGATTGGTGAGAAACAAAAACTTTACTTCCGGTCAACGTGCGTGTTGTCAAAAACGTTACTTGCTTGAGTTCATTAATGTTTTATTATATTTATTATGATAATTATTACCATCATAATTGCCAAAAAGCTAATGCGTAGAAGTACAGATTATCCATTCAGAACGACGTTTTACTCAGTCTAATTCAACTAAAAGGGATTTAAAACCCCGCACACGAGAAAAACTTGCTGAGCTAACAGCCTCGTGAGGTATTTATTTAGCTCAGTTGATAGCTCTCGTGTGCGTCGGGCTTTTAAGAGTTTGCCTGATTGCTATCAGCCATGCAGCGCTGTTCGAAAACGCATACGTATTGCGCAAGATTTCATAGCGCTTAAACACATAAGAAATCATTTGTTTGTGTCCATATTGATGAATGAAAAATAATGCACGGAACTTGTTCTTGGTTGTCATGAAGTAATGAAATATACCTGCGAGCCTAATTTCGAGAAACGTCATAGGCAGCACTCACAATAACAATCAGCCAAATCCCTAACGGAAAAAAATTTTTTTGTCCTTTTCAACCTAGTCAAAATAACTTTCGGCTTCGCTTTTGAGAAACTAAACTATTTCTATCATATATATTTTGCCAACAACTATACGCTTTTACTACTCAATTAAGTATTTATGAGTTACGATCACTTTAACGCAAGAAAGAAATACTATATTAGCTTGGTTTTTTATATTATTGAAAGTGTAGGAGTACGTGGTGTAGTGAGACTATTATGTGGACTACAGAGAAAGGCGGTTGAGAAGGAGGATTTAAGATCAAAATGGTTTGCCCCAGGCTAAAGACTTTCTGTGGCTGTTAGCTCATGTTTTTCGGGCTGAGCTAACTGCCTCGCAAAATCGTTAGCACAGCTGATAGCTCTTGTTTGCGGCGGGCTTAATGTCAAAAGTGCATTAGTCGATAAGTGCACTATTCAACAACGAGTATGACATCCATTAAAAATGATAGAATATTCAACGTCTAGTCGTTGATATATAAAAGTAACAGAATAAAATTTTCCGCACGTCATGTGTACTGCAGTAATGCACAGCAGACGCTACAGCGTTCAGAAGAAAAAAATGTTGCAGCCTTCTCCTGCTACTCGTGCGTGATTTTGTATTTTGTTTCTTTTCCCGCAAGACATCAAAACAGAAAATTTTACTGCACACATGCGCTTGCTCATTAAAATGAATAGAGTATAAATATATTCATAACTAGCATAATTACGCCCAGAACTGCTGACTTATAACCTGCTTTGTTGATTGCATGTAAGCGTCATTTCAGCGACTGCTTGTCGAAGAAAGCACAGCTAGTTGACGACCTCGTGAAATCATGTTTAAAGAAATAAGCTTGATCTTACTGATAATCAAAATTTCACGTATCTCTTCACAGAAATGTTCTTCCGAGATTTTTATTACTATTAGAAACGGTAATATCTCGGTTGCTTTTTCCTAGTTAAAACGAATCGGGTTCCAAGTGTTGGAGAACTTTTTCCTTTGAATATTTCCTTTTCCTTACCATTTTTGCTACTTTTAGGAGGTCCGTCTTTACGTCCAGAAGAAATCATATCAAATCATACCGTCAACTACGGAATTCTCCCGATAGAATGTTACGAACTCTGCCAAAAGGAACCGAAATGTGTTGGATTCAACTACAGAGACAAGATGAATGTTGTGAACTGCCAACTGACTAACATCACTGGAAAGGGAAATCACTTTGAAACAACGGAAGAAGGGGAATGGATACTAATGAACGATAATAAAGCGGTATGTATTGGCAAAGTTACTGTTTATAAAGAGCTTGTGTGCAGAGAATATATAGCGGATAAGTCGTAAAATTAAACCCTTAACTTTTAGGCAGCAAAAAAAACTCATCCAGACGACGAACGTTTAGCTAAACTTTCATGTTTTACTCGTCATACGTACTCCAGCGCAGTTCATGCCATCATTTCCAAAGGCCTCTTCACACAAATCGAATTTTGTTGGATCATATTCCCTTCTGATGGATGTTTTTATAGTCTGTTAATTGTCTTGTATATGGGCAGCAAAGCACTGAAGCTAACGCAGTTCTGCTTTATCAATTACCCACTATATTCCATACGTAAAAGGTTAATTGGATACAACAAAATTGGATCGTGTGAACAGACCCTAAAATCATTCTCTTTCAGGAAAGAAACGAGGACGAAAAGAGCAAAAATGACACTTCAGGTATTCTCAAGGAAGGACAATTGAAGTAAAACTTTCTCACCTCCTCCCCTTAGTCTCTTATGCATGCATTATCATACGTTATTATTTATTTAAAACTAATTCACAGCCTTTTAATTCCTAACAGCCCATGCATGTGTGGAACAGTCATGTCTAACGAACGACGTCATAGCGTCAAATAAGCGCTGCTTTCCGCTGTCGCGTTCTTTCTACATTCGTACACGCACGTTAAACTTAAAAATCATTTTAATGAAATCAACGATTGAGTCTATGAATGCATTGGGTTCGATAATGTTGAAGATTTGGTGATTTTTTCAGCAATAAAAACAGTTTTATAGTAACTTAGAAGTTCTTTTTATTCCAACTCTCTTACGATTTTCTACTGATTCCTTCGTAAACCTATTGTTTATATCATGAATGTATGAATGTGAACCCTCTTACGTTTATAGAATATGCTGAAGTACACTGATGCTCAGTTTGCCTAAGGATTTTCTATTCATATACATGCTAATTTAACTCTCTCTAAAGACTGGAACAGTCAATTGCCAATAACCCCAGTTTTAAGGAGGATATCTCACATCGATCTTATGCTTTGATATTTTACAATTCTTTAGCCAGAAGCAGCGCCCATCTGTACGTATTAGGAGTGAGAAAAGATGGTGTTTATACCATCAATCCTGACAACCAGGGATCGTTCCAAGTCAGATGTGATATGAGCACAGACGGTGGAGGCTGGACCGTGTTCCAAAGAAGACAAGATGGAAGTCAAGATTTCTACTTTGGATGGTCAGACTATAAAGCAGGCTTTGGTGATCTTAACGGCGAGTTCTGGTTGGGTCTTGATAAAATACATCGTTTGTGGAAATCTGGCCAAAATGATCTAAGAGTTGATTTGATGGATTTCTATGGCATTGAGGCTTACGCTAAATATTCAACGTTTAGTGTGGCTGATGAATCAGGCAAATACAGATTGAGAATTGGCAGTTATTCGGGTAAACTACACTCTTGGTAAAAATAATATAGATTCTCTACTATTTATAAAATTAAATTTCATCCACTTATTGCATTCTATATCTTAGTCTTATTTGCCTAAGATGCAGATTCGCTATTACGATTTTAGAACGAGGTCTAATAGCAAAGACGGGTTACTTTCCAAAAGAACGCCATTAGAATTTAAATAGTGTTATAGAAAATTTTAAAGGATCACTATCTGTTTTTAAATGTTATTCATTGAGAATTTTTTTATTATATTCTTCAAAGGTGACGCAGGTGATTCTCTTGCTTATCAAGATCAAAGGCAGTTCTCAACCAAGGATAGTGACAATGATATTTCGGGTGGTAGTTGTGCTACGCTGAGGAAAGGAGCTTGGTGGTACAGCGCCTGTGCGTCTTCCAACCTCAATGGCCTGTACCTGGGTGCAAGTCAGACCAGTGAAACCGGAATAACGTGGTACTATTGGAGGAGGACATGGCGCTCTATGAAAAAAACGGAGATGAAAATTCGTCCGAACCAGTTTTAAGATAAAAACACTTTCGCCAAGAACATGAGTATTTTGGATCCCAAGTTTCAAATTGGTTATGATGTGATTTAAATCCGAATTAATTCATGTAGCACTATTCTAAATAAAATTTAAGTTAATATTAAAGAGGTGTTATACAGCGCTTCTGCGGCTCAGTTCTATTTATATGTATATACTTATATAAAGAGAACATTATATTTTGCAGCGATCGAGTGGGCAACACGAGAAATAAATCCATATTACCAAGCAACGATATAATATACTGTTTATTATCTGAACAAATTATAAGCAAATGACAAATCTTAGTAACTCAAAACAAATAAAATGTATTGAAGGGCACATAATTATTTAAAATAACAATGCTTAGTAACATTTTTTACAGGGGTGCAGGAAGCCGAAAATTCAAAAACTGGAACGTTTTAGAACAGATTTTTTGATTGGTCAAACATATTTCTTACGCGGTTTTTGATTTGCTTGCGGGAATATGATATTTTTACGCGCAAAAAGATCATATTTTTACGTGTGTTTAAATACGATTTTTCTCGAAGGCGTAAAACTCTATATAATACTCATGTTAATATAATAAAATAAATATATATATTACACAGAAACACGTTTAAATGTATTTTACGCGTACTTCCAAATTGGTTTCATTATACTCAATAATAGAAAATATGCTTCACGGTATTTATAAATATAAGTATACCGTCCCTCGTAAATTGGGAGAATCTTTTGAAAACTATAAACCACCCAATAGTACGTTGTGTGCTCGTTTAAAATTATAGAACTATTCATTTTCATAATAATTATTGTCGGTTTGATAACCGACACCCTTTATTCAATAGCACGAGCAAACAAATGTCGACGAACGTGATATTTAACTTAAATAATTTATTACATAATTTAAGTGACGTCTAAGGCCCGTTTCAGACGTCGAACTTTTCATGTGCCGAATCGAATGCAAATTAACTTAAACAAAGACTTTAGTTCATGTAATTGCATTAGGTTCGGCGCATGAAAAGTTCGACGTCTGAAACGGGCCTAAATGCATGTTGTCAAGTGGTTGCACTGATGAAGGCTCGGGACCGAAAGTTTTGCAATATTAAGTATTTACGTGGTGTACCTACAAGCTAATTTACTTATCATTTAATGTCACCATACGAAATTACAAGAATATTCACTGCTGTTATTATAAAGAGTATGTGTTTACATGTTGTGTTAAATATTTGGGCTCACAGTAATAAGCTTTCAGCATACATCATTGAGATTATTATTCATAGCATTTCGGCAAATCACCCGGTCATTGTCGTCCCTGGGGTCAGTCTCCGTGTGCGGAGAGCAACGGAACAAGTGTGGCCAGATTTTGGCATTTTTATGCTAGTTTCGGTGATTCGGTCGGATGTATATAAAGAAGACCCACCTGATTTTAATAATTGCAAAATTTATTCCAGGAGGAGGCAACCTAACATGATATGAGCAGTTTTTCTTATAAAATATTCATATATGGTCACTACTTGGGACGAGGATGTCACTCGGTCTAACTTAATTTCCTCAAGGTCAGCAGTCAATTACTTCAAGAATTTCAAGTAAACAACCGAAAAATAGTGGGTTAAATAAATGATTATACAAATATAGTTAATTGCTTTGTTTAGAATTATTTCTAAACCCATGCAGAAAGCTATATTTTAAAAATAACTTCAAGCCACAAAAACATTCAATCAGACTTCGATGACTTCAAGCAACAAAATATGATCACATGTATAAGTGACTCACTTTAAATTTATGTTCCTACTGTCATTGAACACAAGTCTGTGTCCAAATTTACAAATTCTCCAGATTTAACGCCAGAGGATTGCTCTCACACATGACTGCTTTATTTTCTCGCCCACTTTGCAGTCTTCAAATATGCGAACTCCCCAACGATTTTAAAGCGCGTTGTTTCTGGAATGGAATTTATCACGTTCTATATCGTAGTTTTCACGCTTTGAAGATCTCGAAATCTCCTCTTCTTGCTGCTAAAAGCCACCCTTCGCTCACACGGAGGCTAACGAATACTAAATCTAGTCCGAACAACAACGCTTTGCTTCCTTCCTTCGTCATTCACGCATTCGCTCTATTGAAAAAGCTAATTCTCTATTCATTGGCTCAATAATATGAATATCTTCTAATGATATGTGGTAAGCTATTTCAAGTCCTCGTTAAAGCCGGTTTTCCACAAGCGATATTTTTCGCGCGAATCGACAATTTACTTTTGTTCCAGAGCTCTCAACTGCAACCATCTGGAACAAATTGCTCAAATACAAAGGAATAAATTCGCTTCGCGCGAAAAATATCGCTAGTGGAACACCGGCTTAATGTTTTAAGGCGGATTTCCAATATTTGCATGTTTTCTTTTGAATTGAGAGCACTCAAGTCGCACTAATTTATTTATGCTGTTTAAATTCAAAAGAAAATATGCTAATATTTCGCTAGCGAACGATTTCGCTGTAAGTGGAAATCCGCCTTTACAGCGAAATTGTTCGCTAGCGAAATATTTACATATTTTCTTTTGAATTGAGGACAGTCAAGTCGCACTAATTTATTTATGCTGTTAAAATTCAAAAGAAAATAATTTATGCAAATATTTCGCTAGTAAAAATATTCTTGCATAACTTCTCAAGACGAATCAGAATTGATTTAAAATATACATTTTCAATTAAAAGTTTTAATATGCCTTCGGAATAACTTTTATTCTATATTTGCTCAAGTTATTTATTCTATATTTCCTGAATTCCTGAAGTTATTGGCCGGAAAAGAAATTTGAAATAAATTATTACGTCTTTCTAAAAAAGACTTGTACGGGATAAATTATTTCTATCAACAACAAAGCATGTGCTTGTTAACATATTAAATTTTAAATTAAGCTTTCATCTCGAACAGTATTTGCACTTTCAAACGCTTTCATCTTTTAATATAAATAATACAATATCTATCGTCGGTCTGTATCACTTTCGAGAACGTGTCCCCTATAGCCTATAAACACGGAAAAGTCCTTCTTTACGATTGATCTCGTATGTCACTTGCATGCCATAGTTGGTGTATTAACCGATTTACAACATCGTAAAATGTCTGCATGAATATAAAAGTAATTTCAATGTAATAATAATAATCTAAACTGAAGTAATTCAAGTGATTTCATCATTCAGAAACTGAGTTGTCCATGGAGTCAAAGCACGAAGAACAAGAAGCTTTGCAAGTGTTTCCATGCAGAAGCCAAATTTAAGTAGAAATGTAAAAGCCAAATTTAAGTAGAAATCATACAGTTGACAATTTTTTCTCGACTGTTGATGGGTTGATTTTGAAATGTGTATGATTCACCCTTGAAATTTAAACCTTTAAGCCTCTTGAAATTATTAAGTCGAGTGAAGTGCTACAAATCTTAATTGATTAACCCTCATAATTCAGCTTTACTCAAAGATATTTGATTAAAAATTTAAAAGAATTGGAACATTGTGCATTCGTGTTTAATTTGGTTTTTATTTAAAAAATTTGGCACATCAAAATCATTAACATGACGATCTGTAAGGAAAATAAAAAGGACACGGGGTATTAACTCAAATTCTGATTAATAAGATACAGCAAATCTACAACACTGACGTGAAGTAATACCGTCTCATTTCCACAGTTGCACAACAGGAATAAGAATTATGGACTCCTTTTGGTACAGACGTTCCGAGCTGTATGTAAAATTAAAACTAATTCAAACTGGATTCCTAACACTAAAGGCTGATTTCATGTCACGTCCGCGTCGTAGATTTTGTGTATCTTAAGGGCCTTAATATTGATCGGATCGGAAGTGGTCTATATAAGAGATATTGTTTATTTTCTACCCCTAAAGACGCCTTAAGTATGAGAATGTTTAGCGTAGGGAATGTTTACCTACTTTTAGCTTATCAGTCTCGCCACGTAATTCAGCTTTTGTAACTGCAGGTTTATGAAATATTAAACTATCCGTATCAATCTAATGGCACGAATATTAATGACCGAAGTGAAATGAAACATTATATCGAGATGATAGATCGGAATGTAATATTTTCAGAATGTCATAAATTTTTGAATTATTTTTCAGATCTTTTATCACTCATGCACTGGTAAGGTCGGAAACAGTTTAGTTAGCTGCGTCTATTTCAGAAGCGTTTTGTGGGAATTAACGTCGTTGAATGTGATATGAGGTAAGTTTACATTCTACTTTGATTTTCACGGAAAAGACTACGACGGCTAAGACAGCGAATTAATGCATGCGTACCGAATGTTTGTGATATTTATATGACGCAGTCGAAATGGACTTCTAATTGTTTTAGAGCGTTTTTGTTGTTCATCGTCGAAAATCTCCGTCGCAATCCCATTACTAACAAAACGTTTCAGAAAAATAAATTGTGCGTTGTATAGCATAATTTTGTTTATTTAACGACATCTGTTTCAGCCATAAATATAACACAGAACTTGCTTTGGAAATATTAATATGATTTAACGTTTAAGCCGCTCAAACAATCACAGATAACTCAATACATATTAATAACATAAATATTAAGTATTTGTATGATTGTATATTTATCACAAAAGTCTATATCAATATGAGAAATCATAACGCTTATTGTGTTGTGATGTACATTAAAAGATTGAAAACCAGCTGCGATTATAACTATAAATTCATTCATACACTTGTGAAAACCTAAACAAGTCTTGTATATGCACGCTCTAGCATGTCCTGACCGGAGTGACCTCGGCTCTAAGGTTTGACTATCTATATAGTAAACAGTGGATTGCCATTTAGTGTATGGTAAAGATAAGACAAAACACTACTTGGAACTGGAGTAATGTTTGTACTGATTTTCATATCAAAACTGGTAAACCAATATCGGTAAGTATTCAGTATTTTTTTCAGTATTTTTTTCTTGTTTTTTACCGTACAAAAACAACTTTCTCGTATAGCGCAATAAACATGCTTCGTTTTAAACTGCTGGTAATTATTGTCCTAATCTCATGGATCTCATTTGTCTCTCCTGAAAAAAAGGTCAGATAATCTCGAGGTTATAATTATTTTATTATTTGTTATTTGTTATTTCATCATTGTTTCTTTCAATTTGCTTCGCTAAACAAAGTTGTTTCTCTCGAATCGTCCAAGCGAAATCAAAATCAAATTTTTTATGATAATAATATATCTTGACAGATTGTGGACATTCAAACAGGTTATGATCCGGGCTCGTGTAGCGAGAAGGAACGTGGTTTGTTAAAATTGATCAAGGATCGTTCTAAAATTGATAAACTGTTAATTTGCGCTGAACAAAATGGAGTTTATGCCTGGAAAACAACGGACGGTAAAGTTCCGAGTGTAACGTGTTCTGAAAGTTCCAGAATTCTCTGTCGATTCTCGACCATTTAGTGTAGTTTTTCGAACCGCAAAGAAAAATAATTTCCATTCTAGGATCCAGTCCCTCTGGCGAATATTTCAACCCCGGCTACGACTGCACGGATATTCTGAATAAGAATTTTGAGTCTCGAGATGGATTTTATTGGATAAATTTGAATCGAGGTGCTCCCAAAAGGGTTGGTAAATTTATTATTGGTCCTTTTTATAATTCGACGACGGATTTTTGGTATATTCAACCGGTTCTACCCGATGCATTTCTTTTGTAAGTGGAATAGCTGACAAATGACAATAGAAATCCGACGGGCAGAACTGGATATATAAATATCCCCCCCCCCCTTCAATTATCGTTCTAGTTACGCCCTAGATCAAGCAGTGCTATCTTCTGCCCATTCCTAATTGCTAATTTTTAACGCAGGTCTATTGTGACATGACAACAGACGGAGGAGGATTTGCGCTGATTGGTAAACTCAACAGTTCTGAAACATGGAAAGTTCCATCCAAAAACACAACAGTTGATCCATTTGGTAAACCTCAGTGGTCCAGTGATCTCGGTGACGCTCAAGTTCTTGATTTCAGAATACAAATATCAACAACGGAAAACTTGGCTAAGACAAATGCTCACTGGTAAAAAGAGCAGTAACGTATTATCTGTGGAAAATTTATAAGACTGTTGACTTTTATCTGTTGAGTGTTAACTGTTATCTTTCTCTCCAGGTCCTACAGACTGCGAAACATTCGTCCTCTCAAAAATATCATGATTGTTAATCAGGGGGGTTGTGGAGCAACATCACCAGGCATTGGTGATATCGCTTATGTCAAAGATCTCCGGACTGAGAAAATTGTCGCGACAAAATTCCGTTGTTCTCGGTTTGGAACACATCAGCATTCTTTTCTTAAGATCGGATGGGTTGGTGTTTGTTTTACAATTAATGACAAACAAATTTTGAATAATTGTTTCGCTTCAAATGTGGAGTAAAAAATTTCTATTTTAAGAATTGTTTATGCTATCTCTCTTCACGAAGGCCATTGGATGGAGATATCCTGAATCTTTCTTGCTGTTGTTATGCCACATATGATGAGAAGTTTTTCGAAGATGCCTGAAGAGGTCCTGAAAAATATATGCGCTCAATTACAGTTACCATTTGCTTTAAGGCGATGATGAACGAATGCTTCGAAATACAATGTCCTCTTGGTTTTGCTTTTCACCAAAAGTTTAATATCCAAACAGACTCGTCAGGATCTTTCAGATAAAACGGAACCAATACCCGTCACCATCAGGTCACCATTTAAGTTAAATGAAGAGTGATACACACCATGTACGCCCTTTTATACCAAATGTATATTACCAGGCGGTTTGTTTTATCTGTTATTGTATCATCCATTTATATGGTTTCAATGGTTGTTCTAGTTGATAGCTTATTAAAGATGTTAGCATCGTTAAGGTTATCACGATGCAAAGATAGCCCGCTATTTAGATAAATAGAGTATTTTAAACTAAACTAGGTGAATGTTTGTTTTTTAAATAATCACAAGTTGTGGTGTAACTAGAACGATAATTGGGGGGATTGTTTATTTTTTTATATTCAATTCTTCCCGACGGATTTTTTTGTAAGTGATTACAATAGAAATCTGTCGGGCAGAACTGAATATATGAATATACAACCCCCAATTATTATTCTAGTTACGTTACTGATCCCAAGTTTTTCTATATTACCAGCTATAGTCTGGTTACCGATACATCAGGAATCCGGCACAATTCAACCGCATTTATTGGCTGCGACAAGGGAGTGGTAGGTCAATAAATTTGCTGACATTGACACAACTAGTATAATCTGAAAATACATTGAGAAAGTATTAGCCATTATGTATAATTATATTGGATTGAGAAAGTCATTTGTCTCTTAATCCAGAAGTAATTTATCACATATGTATACGAATTACTAGTTTCGATCTCGATTTTCAGTGTTGTAGTTGTTTTAGTCCGCCGGGCAGCACAGACGATCTCTGTGGCACCGATTGTAAGGCAAAACCTGGCGCAAATGTGGTAAAGAATGTTTATTCATGGTTCTGGGTGAGGACATCTTCTCCAAAGAAAGTTTGGAACAAATGCATGGATTATAAAGTTTCTGAAGCTGACGGAGACGAGGTCTGGTACAAATTGATTGGTCAAAACGTTGTCCCCAAGAGAGTAAGTCCGTTTCTTTTTAAACGCGGCCCTGTATGCAGTGACGTTCTCGTGTAAATCTATAAAAGCCATACCTCCAGTCTCTAGACATGCATGCAGTCCCTGGTAATGGTCATCGAGATGCTTTTAGGGTGTATATACTTATTATAATGAAATTTATTATATCTATAGTTTACTTTTCTCTCTAGGGTCGTTGTTCAACAAACGAGCCGCGTTTAAATGATGGAGTAAGTAATATTATAAATCGTTGCCATCTCATATATCCGCTATGTGCTATCACAATCAGTGGCGTAGCCAGCCTGACGATTTTGTCCCGCTATGTAAATTTCGAGTTATTATAATTATTCATGTCTTTAGAAATCTATTGTTTTCACAGTCAGTGAACATAAAAATATTAGCATAGCGGGACAAATCGACAGGCTGGCTACGCTACTGATCACAATACCCGGGTATAATTGCTAATCTCCGAGCGGAATTAGTACCCTAGTTGTTGCTACGCATCGTCTCAGATATAAGCTGCAATTTACGCCAGTTTAAAGTAGTCTTGCCCTCTTTATAACGATTTTTATTGTAAATTGACAAGATTTACCCTATAACAACAATAACTTATACATAATGGGCCGTCCATCATCTTACAGCCGTTTCAGAACGCGCGCGTATGGAAATTTAACTGTTGAATATTTTAAATAATTATTTGCCGATTCTCGAAGTGAATGTTGCATGAGTTGTTTTGTATATGTCGCCATTTTGCGACCAAAAGTCATTTTGTGGATGTGGGGGACAGAGCAAGGGGGAACTCGAGGATTAATCTATAATTATTTACGTTTACATCCGTTTTTTCGCCGGAAATATTGATTTGTATGAACAAGGTAACTTTTATAATATTCTTGTACGTTTGCATACATAGTGACATCAAATAAGTAAATTAGCTTGTAGTTACACCACGTAAGTATTTGTTACTGCAAGGCTTTCGGTACGTAAACCCGAAAGCTTTGCAGTAATTAATACTTACGTAGTGTACGTACAATTTAAGATAACTTTTGTTCTCATCTTCGGTCAACATAAATATTCTGGCATTACGTTTTTTTAGATTATCGTTATTCCAGATAACAGAAATGTTCCAGAGGTCACAGGAATATTAAAATTTCGAGAAGATAATCAAAAACTTTATGTAAGGTCAAATAATAGCTGGAATATGATAGCAGAAGAAAAGGTAGGTATAGTTATAATATTTGAAAGCAACTACATATCTTTTTTAGTGTATTGTCTGAATCTTTAAATACCTTATTTCTGACTTTCTCTTTTTTTAGATTCTAACTGAAGTCAATGCTGCCGTCGCTAAACTTACATCACGTTTGGATAAATTGAATCGGAGAGTGGAAGCAAAAGGTTCTAACGAATAATTGTTATAACGCACCCTAAAAATTAGATATGCAACTACGCTATAGTGCATTCTCCAACTAAAACTCAGCAGAACGTTTGCTAATTTTGACAGCGAGTTGCGCTGGTTTGTATCGGGCCGGAGCAAGAATGGACGGAGTCTACACAATAGATCCTGATGGCCTAGGATCGTTCCAAGTCAGATGTGATATGAGCACAGACAGGGGAGGCTGGACGGTATTCCAAAGAAGACAAGATGGAAGTCAAAATTTCTACCTTGGATGGTCAGACTATAAAGCAGGCTTTGGTGATCGTAACGGCGAGTTCTGGTTGGGCCTTGATAAAATACATCGTTTGTCCAAATCTGGTCAAAATGTTCTAAGAGTTGATTTGATGGATTTCAATGGCGCTGAACGTTACGCTAAATATGGAACGTTTAGTGTGGCTGATGAATCAGACAAATACAGATTGAATATTGGCAGTTATTCAGGTAAATCAAACCCTGGGATAGATTTTCACTTTTCGACTTATTCGTACATAATAGCACCTAGGTTCGCAGCCATTGCACAAATCTCGCTAAATTCAACAAAAATATTTGTTTATATCAAGTTAAGTAAGAACTATAAATCACGCAGTTTATATAATGCATAGGAAGATTTTAAACACCATAATTATTTCATGGTTGTACGCTGGTTTTCACGGCTAATAACACCACCACCAGTTTATGCATTCACCATATTAATTTTTATGCATTTTGATTATTTTTAATAATTCGTTTTAATTATTTTCGTTACCAAAAAACGAGCAGGTAATCAAGCGATTCATAAAAATTAATTATCTTGCATTCTATACCATAAGATCAATAAGCCTCTGTGGTACTTTTGGGGCACAATACGAGATTATTACACATTTTTGTCATTTGTTAAATTTGAACTTTATATTTGTTTATGAAAAAGATCCCCTATTTCATATGAATATGTATAGCAATTTGACAAAACGCTTTGGCCACTAAAAACAGCATGGGCAGAAAATTGACCGAGCGGTTGATAAAATTACAGACCTTCAAGATGATTTAGAGCTCCCCAGATTGACAAATGCAGCAGGTTTTCATACGCGTGAATGAATTTGACCTACGTCGATGCGATTTAACCGCAATGTCTTCCCCGTTACTGTCCTACTTTGCATTTTCAGCATGCAAAATTAAAAAAAATTAATAATATTACCTTGTGGTTTAAATTTTTTTTCCATTGAGGAGTTTATTGTATTTCTTAAAAGGTACTGCAGGTGATTCCCTTAATTATCACAATCAAATGCAGTTCTCTACCAAGGATAGTGACAATGATGCTACTGGTAGTAATTGTGCTACGAGCAAGAAAGGAGCTTGGTGGTACAAGAGCTGTTATGATTCCAACCTGAATGGCCTTTACCTGGATGCAGCTCAGAATGATGGCAGGGGAATAAACTGGCAGCAGTGGCACTCTTACTCTATGAAAAAGATAAAGATGAAAATTCGTCCAAACCAGTTCTAAGAAAAGGACGAGCTTTGGCAGAGATATAAGCATGCCAAGAAAATCGAGTGTGTTGATTTTTTAATTGCAAACGGAATAATGCATGCAAATCAATTTGTGATTGTTTACTCCATGGTATAATAACGGTATAATAACAGACCTAAGTCAGTGATAGTTACTAAGGATGCAAAATTTGGTTAACAGGGATTGAAAGAAGCGAGTGATGATTTTGAGGTGTTGAAATAAGTATACATATCACATGATCCTGTGATGTAATCATCTTGACAATACCTTGCGCTTGTTTGATTTAATATAGACTTATTTCAATACCTTAAAATCATCGTACGCTTCGCTAACCGAACACATGTAAACAGCCCCACAGTAACGTATTTTAAAACATCAATTGATGAATATTATGATTCTATTTCGTCCTTGAACTACGTCACTAAGGAGTCACGTGAGATATGCGAACGCAGATCGAGCAGTCAGTTGCCCGCGTAGTTTTTTGAGCCAGTTGTTTTATGCAAACGAAGCGGAGAAATTGAAATAAATTGACAGAAAATTTTACTGATATTATGTCTTCTGGCGACGAATTGGAAATGGTTATTGTTACTTCAGATAACCTGCACTATTTAGTCGAATTCTTCTTTGTAATTGTATAATGTATGTTTTCTATGGTGCTAATAAAGTTATTGTTAATGGCATTACTGGAAGAGAAAGAAACAGCAGTGTCGGAAGTAGAATCGATGCCAAAAGTGTTATCTGGATTGGGAAAAACATTGGTGACCATATCCACAGCCATGCTCAACATGGAAAAATCTATCAAGCGACTACAATCGAGCGAAACCTCTGATACAAATGGTGGACCAAAGAAAAAGCGACGTTTAGCCTTCCAAACTATAACAGAAACGGACGGTAACATTAGTGATGCAGAGGGATTGCTTCGAAACAATGAACCCGATGCCGACTCGGCAAATAAGGGTGTTATGATTGATACACATGTTCGACTCGAACATGACGCTCTGCTGACAGAAATCTCTCAGGATTTGGAACAAGAAGAGGAGGTTGGAGGCAATATAAATCAGCAACTTGCTGGTATTGTCAACAAAAGATGGTCAACGAAGCTTATTGACGCAAAACGGAGGGAAAAATGGATAAATAGCCTCGACCAGGGAATTGTGAAAAAATTGTTGTCCCTCGCGTCAATGCAGAAATATGGGACAAGCTTGATAATAAAACTAAACATAATTCCACCACACAAAATATTGCCCAGATTATTATGATGAATACCGACGGTTAGGCATTATTAGGGCACGCCATGTGCGACCTCTCTATGCGTCGACACGACGCTATCAAACCAAATCTACATAAAGATTATAGTAGCCTCTGTGCTTCACATGTGCCAATCACAATGTATTTGTTTGGAGATAACCTCCAAACACAGCTCAATGACATCCAGCTTAAAATTCTGCTGGAATGAGGTATTGTATAAATTTACTTGCTTCCCCAATATGCTAGCACGCAAGGGACATATTTCATCACCATAATCATCTGTTAATCTCTACCTTCCCAGGGGTTATGCATGGACCCCTTCATTTTAGAATTACAGAGGGCGAACTGCAATGGTGGACAGATAATATAGAAAGAGCAAATAATCTGATCTATAAACCAGAACCAAATGTGACTATGTGCACTGATGCCTCAAAAATTGGCTGAGGATGTGCAATTGATAATCTTAAAACTGGAGCACTTTGGACTCGAGAAGAGAGCAAATATCATATCCGGCAATTATTTAGAGTTGCTAGCAGTATTTTTTAGCCTCAAAGCACATAAAAAACTGGTCTCAACAAAGCATGTTAAAGCATTAGTACATAATACTACTGTTCAAATTACCTTAAATAAAATGGGAAAAAGCCACTCACCAACCCCGAACAGTCTTATCAAAACTTTATGGTGTTTTGCAAATGATGTATGGATCACAGTTGCCCGTTTTCCTGGTAATGATAATGTTGACGCAGACTACGAGTGTCGACAAACTAGGCGTACCACGGAGTGGTGCCTAGACAAAGACATGTTTCACAATTATGCTTGCGCAAAGCTTAATTTTAAGCCTAACATTGACCTTTTCGCATCGCGTATCAATTACCAAGTTAAGCCCTACATGTCATTCACTCCTGATTCTGAAGCAATAGCAGTTAACGCTTATCACCACTCATGGGTTGAATATGATTTTTATGCTTTTCCACCATTCTGTTTAATTAGCAAGGTCCTACAAAAGATCCAAAAGGAAGAATCCGAGGGCCTAGCTTTATACCCAAATGCCCAACCCAATCTTGGTGGCCAATGACAATCCGAATGCTGATACAGTCACCCATCACACTTCCCAGCACAACATCAACATTGCACCTCCCAAGCAACCCATTGGAGAAACACCCTCTCCACGAGAAACTAGTCCTACTTGTGTGTCACTTATCACGGAACAGTTTGAAAACAGAGGCCTTTCGACAAAAGCTAAAGAAGTCCTTGAAGCAGCATGGAGAACAGGTACGGGAGAACAATATGAAGGATACTCGGGAAAATGGAAACAATATTGTAGTGAACAGAATATCAATCTCTTTGCACCCACTGTTGAAGAAGGAATAAATTTTCTCGCAAACTTGTTTAAGTTTAGTGCATGCTCTGTCCTCTAACATAATTTTATCAAATAACACCAACTTTGGAACACACCCGATGGTTTGCCGTTTCCTGAAAGGGGTATTTGAAGGTCGACCATCCTTACCAAGGCACAATGATATTTGGGATATTCGAATAATATTAGACCTACGAACTCTTCAGCCAACCGGAAATTTAACCCTCAAAACGTTGACGCTAAAACTGGTCATGATTCTTGCTCTTATACTTGCTCTGCACAGAGGTGTCAAACTCTTAAAGCCTTGTCACTTGACAGTATGTCGTGCGAGGACGGGGAATATGCGTTCCATTTTGAAAGACAGTTAAAAACATCTAGACCCGGAAACACCTTGCGCCCCTAATGGTTAAACCATATCAGCCAGATCCCACGCTTTGCCCATTCAAGCTTCTAACAGAGTATATTGAAAGAACGCGGAGTTTAAGAGGAAACTCCCGACAGTTCTTGCTTAGTTTCAAAAAACCACATAAAGAAGTGAGCACATGCAGACACCATCTCGAGATGGCTGAAAACAGTTCTAAAACTGGCCGGAATAAATTATTTTTGTGGTCAAAGTACAAGACCGGCAACTAACACATCTATTTCTATTGATACAATATACGTCTAACGCTCAAACCTTTCAAAAATATTATAACAAACCATTACGGTTGGAAGAGGACTTTCGTTTTACGTATTCTAAGCTTTTACAAGTTAATTATGCAGTCTAGTTAAATTGAAATAAAGGTATTTTGTTGTTTGAATTATGTGGTAAATTATTGTTATCACTCGTGATTATGAACATCTCACATGACTCCTTAGTGACGTAGTCCAAGGACGAAATAGAATTTAAAATTAAACGAGACTTGCCGTAAGTTGAAGTTTGATTGTAATTCTATGAGTTATTGGACACAGAAACTAAGGAGTCACCCGCCCATATTACACAATTCTATTCAAAAATTCGTGTTTGGGTATATTGAGCTTGTTCCCTCGCTTTGAAGGTACTGTTGTAATCTCTGGTTGCGTTAAAAACTGACTGATCTGTGTGCGCATATCTCACATGACCCCTTAGTTTCCGTGTCCAATAACTCAAATGAGTATTCTAATTTCCTACAATATCAGTCGAAATGAATCCGCCATGTTTACAAATGGATTGAAATTAGTTATGTTCAGTACATATATTTGGCCAAAATAAAGGAAAAAAGAGACAAAAAGGACAAGCATTTGACCATTAAAACTTCGTGGTTATCCATGTCAAAATATTTGACATCACAACCAAAGCATGGTTATATTTTTTTCGGTATATTCGACCATGGTCAAATATACCATTCATGTACCGTTTTTCTGGCGTATTCGACCATGGTCGAGTATATCGTTTTTCGGCACATTCGATGCTTGCAATTTGCAACTTTATATAGATGTTTGAAAGCACCAAACATGCATAAAACTTTACACAGGGCCAGAATTAGACCATTCAACCTGCGCGGTTATCCACATCAAAATATTTGACATCATAACCAAAGCATGGTTATATTGTTTAATGTTTGTATATGAGCGCCAAACATGCTGGAAACTTTACATAGAACAAGCATTTGACCATTAAAACAGCATGGTTATCCATATATCAAAATTTTTGACATCATAACCAAAGCATGGTCATATCGTTTAATGTTTCCATGACCACGAGGCATGCTTGCAACTTTACATACGACAAGCATTTGTCCATTAAAACAGCGTGGTTATCCATATCAAAATATTTGATAATATACTCATAACCAAAGCTTGGTTATATTGCTTATTATTTGTATATGACGGAAACATGCTGGAAACTTTACAAAGTGTCCGCTATTTCCCAATCATCCTTAAATTGAGAGGCATTTGTGGCCATTTCAGAGGCCTATATGTATATTTCAAAATTTTCCCGGACTCTCCTAACAGACGCGCGGTTCCGAGCCCCAGCACTGATACGAAAAACGCTCCGCGATCCCTGACTATAAAACATACTACAACGTTTGCTACGACTTCAATATCTTGCAAAATTAATTATAAATCGGTTTAAACGTCGGTGAGATGTATTCTTGTTATATTGCACGTTTGAATGGTGACATCAAACAAGTAACTTAGCTTGTATAGGTACACCACGTAAGTATTTAATACTGCAAAGCTTTCGGTCCGTTAACCCGGGCCTTCATCAGTGCAATATCAATGAAGGCCCGGGTTAACGTACCGAAAGTTTTGCAGTATTATTTACTTACGTAATGAGCCTATGAGCTATTTTTTTACAAAATTCAAAAAGATGATGACAAAGGCACAGGGTAGGTGACCCGAGGATAGTTTCGACAAAATTTTGCGAAAA